TGAACAAGTAATTTCCATGTAAACCCCTTATGGAAATTGATCACTGATTATTTGGACTTACTAGTGATAAATTTCTATAAGGGAACTAAAAGAAAGAGAAATTGTGCGCGCAAATTTATTTGTACATAAAGTCAGATTTTCTCACAAAGGTTCTGAATCTCTGCAGAGCATCAGACGCACGGGAGCAAAAAAAAAGTGCAAGATGTGGGGAAAGTGCGCGTGCGTGGTGCCGGGAGTGGCACCGCTCTCTCGCTACGGGGTTGAAAGTGGCGGATTCGTGGAACAACGGCGGTAGTGCCTACTGCAGGATTCCACGAGGAGGCACAAACCACCCCTCGTGGCAGCACTCCCTCGTCTCGTCGTTAGCGCCGCGAAGTTTCGATTGCGCGCGCGCATGTCGCTCTATCTACCTCCGTTGCTGTTCAGCTGACTCGACGCATTCGTCGTACAGAGACGCTCCTCCGGATATATACTCTCTCTCGAAAATACGACCGTCGGAGTGACGTCGCGACGCCGACGTCGCGAATTTTGCGGATCCGTCGAGTGCGATGTCGAGTGCGCGGCTGACCGGCTGAGCGAGAGACGGGTTTGCTCGCATTTCCGGTTTCGACAAAATCGTGGCTGCGAGAGACAGATATGCACGTCGGGGTCGTTCGCTCGTGGTGCATTCGTCGCTTCGTGGTGTGCGCGTATCAATGCAATATATCGAGATAGTGTCGTGCTACATAATCGACGACGAGGACGACGATCGTTCGATATAGCGCGCCGTCGATTCTCGTGCTAAAAGATGGTACGATCCGACGACGCGTTAATTTCGTTATGTCAATGTGTCAAAGCACCGCGTTTGTTTAATGTCCTCTCTCGTGAGTAAGTATGCGGATATCTATTTTTGAGTCTTGATCAACCGATGGACCGGATTGTTGCGATTGGTGCTGTTTGAACGACGGTGGAATGCACGTTTCAATCACGCTCGCTTCACGAATGCGTGCATTTAAGGGGATGGTTTGTGTATCGCGCATACCAAGTCGGTCTCGTGTAAACGATAAGACTACTAGCTTTATTTCCAGAACAATCTGTGCATTCAGGTTTCGAGGAAACAAAAAAGATGGAAATAATAGTAGAAAGAGATAGAGAGAGAGAGAGAGAGTAGCTGAAAAGAAACGTATTCAACTGATCTCTAAAATTTTGATACTATAAGCATGAAATGAGTATAGAAAATAAAATTAAATCACTATAATAATGATTTGTTTTACTTTTTAATATGTGTACATGGTTTTCTTTCTAAAGTGCTTTCTTAGTACAAATGATTTGTTTCGTTTAAAAGGCAATATCGATTCTTCTTCAATTCCCAATTTGCTCCGTATACTTGTATATATAAAGATATCAGATCGTGTTTCGATTGATCGAATATTCGTATCGGGATATGAACTGATTGCCACGAGTTCCTGATATTTCGTCAAGAAGATGCGAAAAATTGACAGTCAATCAACGTACGTCTTTTCAAAATAAAATTAAGAATATATAAAAATTTCAGAATTTGTTCTTCGTTTTGCTTCAAATTGATAAATATGGCTTTGTACAATGATGAGAAATTGTAATCGCTGGATTTATCGAATTGACAATCTTTTTTAGGCCACATCGAGCCATAAAGCGGAAGTCACTCGGTGTGTAAAATCGCAGTTACGACAACCGCAATTGATTTGAAGCATGCACGCTTCTCACTCTCCCGCTTATGTTGCACGCACAAGCGGCTCATTTTCATCGACATCGAAATTGCGATTCTACTGAAAGCTCACATTTCCTATTCTTTCATCAATCTTATAACAGATTAAATGTAAATTAGTCTCTCGACACTTGATGATTAGTTTAAATGTGTCTGACAAAATTTTTCCACAGCAAAGGGAATGCGAGATAAATGACTGAATATAAATTTGTGTTAAGTGTTGCATACGTCTTCTTAATTGCATTGTAATTGATCAGTCGCGATCGGATTAATTACTGCGAGCATTTTATCGGTTTCATCAACCGCGGTGAAGTAAAAATCGATTTTGTTATCGGCTTTCACCACTTTTATCACTGATTATCTCGACTTCCAGAACAAACTAGCACAAGGTTTTTATGTGTTATCTACTGTATAAATATGTGTATTAAATATATTTTAAAATTAATCCAATACCATGAGCGAATATATATTCAATATCTAAAATAAAAGTATATATAGGAATTTTCCACTTTATTCAGACGTATGTATTATACGCATATGTAATACAGTGCGTGGGTACAATGTGATGCTTGTAACAGGTGGTGCAGATATATGTACCTATATATATATATGGCGTAGAAGCATAGAAAGAACGCGAAGAGAATATAATTTTCCACATTGTATATATATTTTCCAGAGGGATGAATTTTATTTTATATAAAGATAAATAACAATAATAATTAATTAAAATATATTTGACGTTACATGTAATATTACATATCATATATCAAAATATATTTAATATATTATATGTTAATATTATCTTAATCATATTGTTATTTATTTTTAATATCTTATCATAATAAAGCGTTTAATAGCATTGTTATGATCAAATCACGTTTATATTAGATGGCAATTATTATTGTTGTTATTACTGCAATTAGTACTTTGATTTCTGTCTCTCTCTTTCTCCCTCTCTCTCTCTTTTATAATTTAATAATATATTAAATGATATATTAATATAAATTGCACACACACATATATAAAGTCACGTTAATTGAACGGCAATAAAATACTTTTTTGCTAAAAACACAGTCATGATAGTTCTATGCGTGATCAAGTCAGCGGATCGATCGGCTTTTCAGAGTTATAATAAAAATATCGCACGTACGAAAGGAGCACCGCGACACGTTAGGAATAAAAATATCACGAGAATAAACCGACGGACGACCGATCATGAATCACGAGAACGGTTGAGGGCATCGTGGGCGCGGTATAATAAGAGACAGGAGAGATGAAAGTGAAAAGATGAAGAAGAGAGAGTGGCGCTTCTAATTGGAGATGAACGGATTTTTCAACTCCCTCAAAAACCTCGCGTCCGGTGCCGCGTATGCTACCGGTTCTGCTCCGAGATACGAAGAGCTGGAAGGTGAAACGGCAGTTTCTATAAATCTATCATCTCGCATGTTAACGTCTTCTCATATCGCACGTGTATATACATAGCGCGTATAATTAGCTTTGTAAACCACACACACACACATATATATATATACACATTAGTTTGTTAACTAAATGTTGATAGATTAAATACCGTTAAGTGTTGCTACAAGAGCATAAACTCTACACACCACATCCGAGTGCTATTAAGACACATTATAATTTAATATATAGGTACACATTAACTTAATATGCTACACAGTGTCATGTAGCTTAACCTGCTTTGCTTTCAACCGTAGATATTAACATTTTTTTCCAAGTATTTAAAATAAAGTTAATATTTATAAAGTAATTTAAAAGAGCTTACTTATTTCGTTAGCGTTAAGTAAATTTAAAAGCATGATAACTTTATGTACGCAAAATTCAAAATGTGAACAGATAAAAAATGTACTGCGTAAACGAGTTTTTTTATTTAATTAAAATGTTTTAAAATACACAAGATAAAATCATATCTTTATTACAGATATTAATTATTTATAGATATTTTTCATTTGTATATAAAATCGTGAGTTTAAATGTATGTACATAAGTATGCATATGAAATTATCTTGGAGCAAATCTATTCGAGTGCAAGATTGTCAAAATAAACTGCAACAACACACATATGTGTGAATTTGTCACGATTTATATATGAAGCACAATTCAAGTTAAAACGTTCTATGTTATTCAACGCTGAGTGCCTATAAAATTTAGTACATGGCACAATTTAATTTGCGACTAACTCGACGCGCTTTGTATTCTAACGCTATTTCATAGTGATAGTAAATTTTATAGCAGTGTAACCATGTCTTTACCTATAATTTGCAAGCCATTTCAACTGTAAATTGCAGGAAGCATACATTTAATCCTTATAGCCAAAATTTTGAGCAAAGTTTAATGTAAAAGGTAGAAAAGCATCTATTTATTTTATTAACAATAACGCCTAGCATATATTTTTATCCTTTTACCTATATTTATTTCATTTATTTATTGCAATTTACAGAAAACACAAAAATTTGTAGTGGACGACAAAAATAAAGGAATAAAAATATAAAGTAATGTACGGAACAATCTAAAAATTCTCATCGAAATAGCTTGGATATTGCATAAAGCAAAAAAAAACAATACAAAATACAAATTGTTACAATAGCAGAAATTATATTGATTTCACACTCCAGCACGTATATCTGACGTGGTTTATTCAGCCATTAATAGAATTCCATCGTGATCAAGCCGCGCTCGCTCGTTCGTAAATACTGCGAGATAACAATAAGTAATATTGCTGTTGCACCGATTCGTTCGTATGGAAATTGAATACTTTCGATATATTGTTCCGTTAGCACGTGTGAAGTTTCACTGGCGCATAAACGCCATGAATAACTGTCTAGTATTTTGCGAAATCTCTACAGGATTATTTCTACTCAAACTATCTCGGCAATCCCTCAACCATGGTTGTCATGGAAACGATTATGCGACGACCCTTCCATTAAAATGTTAAAGGCGATCGGGTTTGCTTCACTTTGCAACTTCGTCAGTCGTTCGTATTCACTCGAACAAGACGGTAGTGTGTGATCAATAATAATTTCGACAGTAAAATATTCAAATTATCCGAATCGCGAAACGCTTGAGAATTCACGTGGTTATGTGAATAACGCTTTTTATTGGTTTAAATCTCTTTTTTTTTTGCATGATATAAGATAATATTTTTTCTCTACTTAGTGCAAAATAATTAAGAACGTTGTGCGCAGTTAAAGTCTAGTAAACTAGACTATTACATGAAGCAAGAGAAAAAGTGTATTGTAAATTTTTCTCTAAATTTCAGTCGAAGATACAAAAATGAGATTCAGTTTGACTCCGCAACCGGGGAAATTACGCAATGGCTAGATGCCATGAAGATGGTTGCCAAATTACAAGGGGGAATACCACCAGAATTTCGGAAAAGGGTGAGCGATTTATTTCTATATATAAAAAAATCGTCCTTAAAAGCGTAAAAAGTATGTGAAACTTTGAAACACCTGTTGCTATAAATAGATAAAACAATAAACTGATATCTTTTTATAGTTATGGTTGACATTGGCGGAGCGTCATCTGGAAAAGCACGGTGTAGATTGGAAGCAGGCTGAGAAGATTTGTTTCAATGAGTGGAGTAATCCTGACGACGAAGAGCTCGGCATACAAATCGTGAAGGTAGGTATAGTCAACGAGATATTTCTCTAATAAAAGTGCACCAGACGCATTAACATATCTGCGTAAAAACTTCGCGACGTAAATGATTATCTCTAAAATGATAGACCGCACGAAAGTCTTCTATTTTTGCAAACTTTGACGTAAACGTTAACACTTTCATCTTTCATTTTTTTTTTAAGATTTTTTTAAGGCAATTTTATTTAAATTAAAATAAACTCGATTATTCAAAATCCATAAATTTCAGAACAAACGGTATATCTTTTTTATCTTTTGATAATATTGTCTCTGTAAGATGGCAATCTCAGTTTGTCATGCCAGCTTCGAATCGAAATAAATAATGGCGACCTGGTTAATTCTGCGAATGCATTTCTGGACGCGCAGTTCGAGGTATTTATTGAGATAGCGGCATTAATTTCGATGCATTTTACTATTTTTAGCACGAAATATCGGGTTATAAACATAATTATGTAGCGCAAAAAAATATTTCAACCGATTTTGAAATGAAACGAAGAAAAAATAAAATGCAAGAAGCTAAAAATTGATTGCTGCATTACGCAATTAGAATCAACGTGAACACTGTGCATAATTAAAGTGAGTTGCCATTCTAAAAATACTTCGGCAATCTGATATGTATTTGATCGCGCAGGGTTATATCAACTTCTTGTATATTTATAGAATGACCGGCGCTCTAACTATTATTAATTATGTCGAATTAAGTCAGGATCGTTTATCACCATAATGAATAAATATCACCAGTGCTGTTGTAATTAATTTTTGCCTACGTTAATTTTAGTCAAGATTTGCGTTGTCATTCGTTGTTCGAGTCTATTTAATCGGATCAACGATTTGACAGATTAATTACTTATTCATTCAGACGCGCAGACACGTGTTATGAAAATTTAATGTAAAGCCTGAGATAAATTATGGAAAATTATACTCATTGAGAGAGAGACCACACAATTTTTATTGCTAACTTGACAAGACTCAAAGTATTAAAGCAATCGTCTCCAGCTAATTTCTCGACGTTAAAGACATTACGATTCGCAGGATCTGCACAGGACAGGCTGCAGCCTGTTCTGCGGCGCTGCCGGCCGGGATAATCAAGCGGTTCTGCGTCGAGTTTTGCTTGGCTTCGCCCGTTGGAACAAATCCGTGGGCTATTGCCAGGGTCTAAACGTATTAGCCGCCCTAGTCCTGCAAGTGGTGGACCGCGAGGAATCCTCGGCTGTAAAGGTGATGATATATCTGATAGAAGGCGTCCTACCGGAGGGCTATTTCGCCGATAATTTGCGCGGCCTCTCTGTCGACATGGCGGTATTTCGAGATCTCCTGCGGTCGAGGCTGCCGAAATTGTCCAAGCACCTGGAGGCACTCCAGAGCGACGCGAAGGATAAAGCGACGGGTGAGTCGAACTGAATAAGCGTAAGAAATACAAAGAGATGCGTTGCCGTAAAATATTATGCTGGTATTACCGAAACGGTACACATAGCTCCGTTAAAAGAATATCTGACATTTGAAATGTTTTCTTTTGCTAAAAGGTTTATCTAGCGCTTGTGTGATATTGGAATAACAAATTTTTATTCCTTATATATTATTCTGTGAATGAGACGTAATTTGGTTTAAATTATTTTTATCGTTAAAATATTTTCAGGATGTTTACAAAGAGATTTTCAAAAAAATTACTTATAATCGGTTTGTTTGTTTTACAAATCTATTACCTACTTTTATTTATGTGAATCATATGATCTCGAAATAAAATTAATTTAAATTTGACTTTATTGCCGTTATCTTACTTCTTCTAATTGTTATAAATGATCTTGATTTTCAGGAAACAGCTACGAACCGCCGCTCACGAATGTGTTCACTATGCAATGGTTCCTTACGCTTTTCTGCCACTGCTTACCGCAGGAAGCAGTGCTTCGTGTCTGGGATCTGATATTTCTGGAAGGTAACGAAGTGCTCCTTAGAACGGCACTCGCTATCTGGGAAGGCCTTTCGAAGTGAGTTTGAAATTTTAATTAAATCGAAATTGCCTCAAAATTATTACACGTACGACAAAAATTCACGAGTCTATTTTTCTCTCTTCTTGAATGATCATAAGCGATGAATAAATAAGATAACCACTTATTTTCCTGCAGTCGCATAATGACCGTAACGTCAGCGGATGAGTTCTACAGCATAATGGGAGTACTTACAAGAGAGATGCTAGAATTCACCGACACAAACAATCTCATAAAGGTGCAGTGCAGTTATTTCCATAGCTTTTATTATATAACGATAATATAATTCAGCACGGAAAATCACATCATTTGCACATCATTTAGAGTCTTTCTTGTTTGTGCGATTACATTATTACCAATTGTGTTGTATATTGTAAATCTAATTTGTTTGCGAATTGATAGAACATCGTTAGCATGGGACCTTTGCAAGGTGTGGCAAATTTGAGAGACAAGCATCGATTCAACATCACACCGTGGGCGCGCAGGCTAAGCGACGACGATGACAGCGAGGCGGAAGAGGATGAGAGAGTGGCTGTAACGGCTGCCATGTTCAACATGGCCCAACGTATAAAAAAAGGTGTTTATCGTTAATAAATTTTGCAGATGCTTCAACGATGTTAAAATCAGAAACACGACAGCTTCATGTTCATCATTTTTATAGCTATACTATAGATATTAAATCTATGGCTGTGTACATTGGAGAATGCAGTTTTATAAATCTCAGCATACTTTAGCATAAGATATAATTTGCGCGCACATATTTAAAAAAAAAATAGATTTTTTAGCTCTTTAACAAGCACTTTTTTCACTTTGAAGAGTAATATATCACTGCGTAAAATATATGTAAAATTACACAAAAATATGTAAAATTATACTTATTATTTATGTAATTTTACATATTTTTATTTGACATATTACACATTTTTACAGTGCACAATTAAATTTCAGTATCTTGTGAATGATATCTTAAATAACAGATTATTATTTTAGATTGCAATTAAAAATATTTTGCACAAGAAGATTAACAATATCGCATTGTGAAATATCTACGGCTCGTTTAAAGAAATGATCAATTCCAGATCGTATACCGACAATAGGAGCATTACAAGCGATTGCACCCAGCAGTGATCGAGACCGACTTGCTCTCGATATTAGTACGCTGAAGCAGCAATATGCAAAACTGCGAGAACGACAGCGGCAAGCACACATAATACTCTCTGGTAATGGCAAACGAGATAATCGTTACATAATTCCATAGTATAAAAACTAAAAGAGATTTAAATATTACAAAACAATGTGCAAAATATAGGCTTAAAATTTCTGTAGTACTTTTTAATTTATAGTAAAAATTTTGCATAAATTTTTGTTGGTCGAACGTAAAATATAATTGTTTGTTATTAAATTAACATATTCAATGGTCTACGTATTATAATACAGATTTATATTAATGTCAAAATATTGCAATCTCTTTACTGTCAATATTATTGAAAAATTGGAATATAAATATAAATTTAACGTATAAGACGGGCAACAAGAGCCAAATCGCGGATGACAATGCGTTATCCTAACGAAACTAAATAATTTTTCGTTGAATTAAATACCGGTGCACAAGGCACCAAATTTTACTTGGACACGGCCAAGATTTTTAATATGAAATAATCTCATATTTTGAGATTTAATTTCAATACCCCTTTAACCCCCTACGGAAAATAAATAAATGAATGCAAGAGAAAAATATAGATCCGAAAATCGCTGAATCGGGAATCGACCCGAGACCTTTCGCTTGCCGGGCGACTGCTCTTCCAGCTGAGCTATCAGATCCTTTCGATTCTATACTTTTCTCTGTTATATATTATAATGTTGGTAAACAAACGATTTTTAAGCCAGCGTGTATCAAATATAAGAGTTTTTAACAGGCTCTGTAATATAAATATAAATTAATTTATATTTCCGCCCGTCTATACGTTAAATTTATATTTATATTACAGAGCCTTGTTAAAAACTTATATTTGATACACGCTGGCTTAAAAAATGCGTTTGTTTACCAACATTAATATATTATAACAGAGAAAAGTATAGAATCGAAAGGATCTGAATAGCTCAGCTGGAAGAGCAGTCGCCCGGCAAGCGAAAGGTCTCGGGTTCGATTCCCGATTCAGCGATTTTCGGATCTATATTTTCTCTTGCATTCATTTATTTATTTTCCGTAGGGGGGTTTAAAGGGGTATTGAAATTAAATCTCAAAATATGAGATTATTTCATATTTAAAAATCTTGGCCGTGTCCAAGTAAAATTTGGTGCCTTGTGCACCGGTATTTAATTCTAACGAAAAATTATTTAGTTTCGTTAGGATAACGCATTGTCATCCGCGATTTGGCTCTTGTTGCCCGTCTTATACGTTAAATTTATATTTATATTACAGAGCCTTGTTAAAAACTCTTTTATTGGAATATAGTTTTGACAAAAATTGAATTGCGCGTTCCTCGCACTGCATCCATCGATCGAAACAATCACGTAGGTTTGACAATTAAAAAACTAAAAACGTTATAAATGGCACGATACATTACGGTGCTTACCGCCGTTCTGCTTGTCACGTAGCTTAGCCATTCCATATTCATGAATGAAACTAAACTCATGTTCGCGCGCGTTTACGGTTGGATACTATCATCATATTTCCATCATTCGGATGAGAACATACGATAACAACGTGACCTTTCGAGATGGTGTGACCTATCACGAGGAAAGTACGGTTTGCACTCCTGCTTAATTCGCTTCAACATGAAGTAGCCACTTCGTATAGCTTATTATTGAGCGAATAAAATTTATAAGATCAATAATGTTTAATTGATAAACTTTGAAGTAAAATTGAAGTTCTCGTACAAAGTACACAAAATGATGTTTAAAGTCAAATTTAAAAATAATATTGAACATATAATTTACAAAAATATAATAATAACACTCAGAAAAATTGATAATATTTTTATAACGCTATAATTATTTTTCATCCTACATTGCGATAAAAAAGAAACACTATTAAAAAATATTAAAATAGAAATATATAGAAATAATATATATTTTATAAATTCTCCAATATCACATAAAAGTAATTAAGAGATAAAATAATACCGAAATGCAATATCAAAAAAAGTAATTTTATGGAGAAGATAAAAAATATTTATAGTGTTGTAAAATATTGTGATATTATACAGATTGTATCTCAATTTTGTCTGAGATAGCAAAATAAACACATATTTTTATTCTAACCGATTTCTTATATTCTGACGCAGCCGCGTGCGCAAGACAGACCATGGTACCTCCGCTTCTACAGCCATGAATCATCTATTAGTAGGGAAAAATGCCCTCGTAAGTGGAAAGAGTCGACCGTTAAGCCTGCCGTCTGCCACTGCCACATCGAAGTTACGGCCGACGGCCCTTCACAGCCCGAAAAGTCGCAGGGATAGACAAGGTGTCACGCTTCATTGGAAAGATGCAAAAAGGCCGAAACAAAAGGCTGGCGATGCTGGTGGTAAGTTACAATTAATTGTCAAATAATTATTAGAAAAAAATCTTTAAAATAAAAATTACAAGTTTTTATAAAACGAAAGAAAGCACATTTCTTAAAAATTGTAAAAATATTTTTGGCACAAAAACAAGATGAGGAAAGGGAATCGACATTTTGAAATACAAGTTTAAAAAAGTAATGACTAAAAAAATGATTCTTATCGAGCAGAATCATAATCTGGAGATATGCACTACGAACAAAATCGACCTTTACAACTAATTAATTATATCAAAACAATTTCACAATCTAAGCAGATAACTTAATTATAAACATAAGATAAGCGATTAATATAAATGATGTAAATAAATTATTAAATTAATTTTAAAATTTTGAAAAAACGTATATGTAATAAATATTTAAATCAAGAATAGCAAAAAAACGCGTCTCTATAATTGAATAAATAAGTTATGCCACGTCTTATTTAATAATTAATCTTAATTATAAACATACAAATGGAATCTCGATTATTTTCTTATATCATAACTTAAAAATAATTATGTATTTATACTGAATTTATATTACTGTATCTCCTCATGGCAAGTATGGAACCAGCAGAAAGTAAGGTAGAAACTACTATCTACCAGTAGTAAGACTCGTATCACGCGTACGCGTATCTACCGCCGAACTTTCAACTCCCTATACAACCACCTGTTTCGCGCTCGATGTTAGCAAGTATTAGTATTGATGCAGGTGTGGCAGATAGGGTCAACATCCAGTTCTGTGCTTTCTCTTGCCAAATTGTCACCGTTTTATTGTGAATCACTTTCTTCGTACACACAAATCAAGATAAATACACAAGTTATAACAGGTATAATATTCCTAGAATGTTATCTCTTATTGATTAACAATTTTCATTTGACGTTAATTGCGATGCCAATATCCTTCAAAATTAATTGTTATTTTAACGTTCATCCTTATTGCAATTTATTGTTATTCTATATTTCCTCTATTTGATTTATGCAGATGCCGATGCCTTTGGTTCAGCATTTTTACAATCGCCTCCAGAAACGTCATCTGTGACGTCGCCCAGCCGTACCGCTGACAGCGATAGTGACAGCACGTCAACTGAATTGTGCGATGAGCCGGATCATCTGAGCGACGTCGATAGCGAGGAACTTACGTCAGCGTCCGACTCTTGCGTCATGGATGACGAAAAAGCATGCTTGTGTCGAAGGTTCATTGACCTCGACGAGTACACCTGCGCGTTCGTATATTAAAAGCGAGCCGACGATGACGGTCGAGGAGCCGCAGATGGATCCGATTCTCGAGCGCAGCGATAAATTCCCGTCGTTAACTGAGATCTCGATCGCCAAGATCACCGATCAAATACGAAGACTCTCGGCGGAGGATGACAATAACACTACGGTTCCTCAGATAACAAGCGCGCGCGACAACGACGACCTATTGTTGACGAGCGATTACTCGATCAAGAGATCACAGGCGAAGAAAACGGAATCCACGTCGCAGGATTTCGATTATACGACGAGCGAGGATGTGACAAGTTCGTCGAAGACTGTGAATAATTACGATTATTTAAGCCTCAAATCTCATCTCGTCGAGGAGACGACGGACGATATTCTAATGCACAAAACGAAAGATGTAGAAGAAAGGGAAGAAGTTATTCAAACTGGCAGTGATACGGATTTTAAGACGGACATAATGGAATTCACTGCGAATACATTGCGAGATAATTCTAAAGAACAAACAAGCATCTCTTTAGATAGAAATTACGAAAAGTATATCGCCCCTTTAGACACAAGCGAGGAACCCTTCGAATCCACCCTAAGATTTTCCAGCAGAGTTTATTCAAATTCTAAAAGCAATAACGATTCGAACGACGATACGAATGTTGAGAGCAACAGAATTTTGAATCTCGCGACAGATTCGCGGTCTTTTTATTCCAAAAGATATGTCGTCGGCCACCTTCCAATTTCTCCGATAACGATGGATGACAAACTAACGAAATTATCACCTGAAATATATAACATTGCGCTAAATTCGGAAAATCTGGCAAGTCCTGATGCGGCTTCAACGAAAGATATTTTTGGCGACAAGCAGCAAATTAAATCGTATTCGAATTTAAAAACAAGCCCGAAATCTCCGGATAGCGCAAAATATAACATTTCGATAAATTCGGAAAATCTGGCAAGTCCTGATGCGGCTTCAACGAAAGATATTTTTGGCGACAAGCAGCAAATTAAATCGTATTCGAATTTAAAAACAAGCCCGAAATCTCCGGATAGCGCAAAATATAACATTTCGATAAATTCGGAAAATCTGGCAAGTCCTGAAACGGCTTCAACGAGAGATATTTTTGGCGACAAGCAGCAAATTAAATCGTATTCGAATTTGAAAGCAAGCCCGAAATCTCCGGATAGTGCAAAATATAATGTTGCGGTAAATTCGGAAAATCTGGCAAGTCCTGAAACGGCTTCAACGAAAGATATTTTTGGCGACAAGCAGCAAATTAAATCGTATTCGGATTTGAAAACAAGCCCGAAATCTCCGGATAGCGCAAAATATAACATTTCGAAAAATTCGGAAAATCTGGCAAGTCCTGAAACGGTTTCAATGAGAGATATTTTTAGCGACAAGCAGCGCATTAAATCGTATTCGAATTTGAAAAAAAGCCCGAAATCTCCAGATAGCGCCAAGTCGTTTAGCTCTGGAGAGACAATGGGTCCCGATTCGAAGCCTTCGAGTCTGACAGCGAGTCCAAGAACACCAATTAAATCGGACTCACGTGACTTCACAATGGATAAATCAGCTTGTTCCATCAGCTCAGATTCCAAAACCCTCGTTCTCCATTCCGTGGGCTCGGATATCGCGCACGATCCGAGGCCGATTACGAAGAAAATGTCGTACGAAAAATCGAGTCCGTCAACTCCCATCAGTACGGATTCCCTGAGAAACAAGCCGGAGACGAGTCCAAAATTCGTGATCAGCAGCTCCAGCGACTCGTGCAGCCCGAGCAAATTTAAGTCTTCCGAAAGGTCATTCAGTTCCGATCTGCAATCGCCCATAAGTGCCAACTCTATAAAGTATACCTCGAACTATGGTAAACGAGGCCAGGATAACCTGTCAAATTCGCCAATCGATCTGAGCAGCGCTACCTCGCCGTTTTATCCCATCGCGAATCCTAATCAGAAAACGCCGTCGCCGTACGACGTAAGCAAGCGAGGATGTAGCGAAGAAAGCGCAGAAACATCGCCCGATCAGAAGTCAATCAACTCGAAGGACTCGACCAGATTCTCGGGATATCAAGCGAAACTAGACATCTCGACGTCGAAATCGATCGAAGCTAAAGCTAGCGAGATTTCCGAAAGACTCTCTGAGAGAAACGAACTGTTTGTCAAACCGCAATTCAGTCTGAATACGGAGCTGAACGCGAGTTACACATCGAGGGAGAAGAACAAAGCTGATTTGAGCTCTTACGAATCGATCGACGACGAGTCGCATCGCAAATGCGGAGATTTCCTTGTCGACGACACGGCGGACGATCCGCTTTCTGAAAAGGATACAGTGCCTCAATTGCCGTACGAGAAGCTCGACAAACATTATCTGAATTATAATTACAAACGTAGAGACCGATCGCGATTGACTGAGAGGAGCTCCAGCAGTTTGGAAAGGAGATACACCGATTTGAAGTCTTCGGTCTCGACCGACGAATTCAACACGACTATGGCGAAGAAAAGATCCAGCGATATCCTGGAAAATATGAAGCACCTGGAAGCAAAGGTTCTTAGCGATGGCTCGCCCGATACCAATATGCTAACGAAAAAGTCGAGTGACATCTGGGAAGACATGAAGAGTTTAGAAGCGAGACGGCAGGATACTTTCAGCAATTCGGCGAGCGGTTTCTCGAAACGGCGCCTAGAAATCCCGGATATAAATATAACGAGCGAGGGTAGGAAAGCTTACGTGGTGCACCCTAGAATCAACATCGACGAGAACAGCGACAGTATACTGAAAAGCATAGCGTGCAACAAGAATAATAATAATAGCGATACGGTGGACGATGGAAGGGAATCGAAGGTCGGCGTTTGGACGAAGGTAAAACCGCGTAAAAAAGGCGACAACGGACGCAGAAGTAGCGACAGGGCATTGAAAATTATTCAGGAAAACTCGGCGATATTGCACAAAATACTGGCTTGTCAGGCGAAGAAACGTTTACCAGATCTGGAGGAGATATCCAAGGAGATCACCATCAGTCCAATAAACGAGGAAATTTCCAAGATATTCAGCCCGATTCTCGAAAAAATGGGGCTAAATGAGCACGAGATAAACGAGGAATTGGCTCGAATAAATTTCAAAGACTTCGACAACATGAGCGCCACAAGCGTATCGGAGTTCGACGCCAAAATCAATGAAGAATTAACGAAACTTTCTCTCATCGACGATGAGGAACAAATCGATCATCTGGCCGTAGACGAGATCATATCGCACGAATATTTGCACACACGGGAAGCGTTCATAGATCATAAGATAAATGAGGAGCTCTCGAAACTGCTCGCGAATTACGAGGAGGACTCTCCACCGAGCATAATTAATCTGGAGCAAAACTCCTCCAGTCAGAACATAAGCGAAATAGAGGGCCTCGACCTCACCAGTATTTCGACGAACGTATTCTCATACAAATCCTCCAACGATTCCATCGAAACCAGGAGCGACTTGGAACCAGCGCAGGATGCTGCGATACAGTCGGAAAAATTCCCGTTTGCGACATTGAAATATGAGAAAAGCATGTCGCCCAGAAGTGACATGGACATCTACAGAGAACTGGAAAAACTAAAAAAGATCTCGAGTACGCAGATGCTGCCGGAAACGCCTCTGAAAATCTCGCCGAAACGATTGTCTCCCATTACGTACATTTCCGACAGCTTGCCTTATCCGGAGGTGTCGCCCGCGACGAGATACACGAAAGCGAGCCTGTTCGATTCCACATCGCTCAAGGATACCTACGAGTCTTACAAGAATTTCGACTTCCCGAGCAGGCCGTCGCCGCGGGAAAATCCTTATATCACGTACGATAAACCGGATGACACGTTCGAATACATGGATTTGAAACCGAAAATCGTCCTCGATTCCTACGATCTGCATCTAAAGAGCCCGATACTGTCCAAGGAAGCTTTGGAATTTCGCGTAAGATACGAGGAAGAATCGCCGAAACCGACTGACGGCGAATACGTCGTTCAGGATGACAAACCGACGTTTTCCTTAAACGCGGCGAGTTCTTATTACGGTAAAGGCAATAATAAAGCGATTACGCCAACGAAGTGTACCAATAAGGAAGAAAAGTCCCTGGATCTCGAGGATTATTCCAGCGACATGTCGGATTTTCTACGTCACAAGTACAGCACCTTGTCGCCGAAGGAATATTCTTACGTCAGAAACACGGACTACGACAAACCGTTAAGCACTTTGCCGCATGTCGTGGTAGATGCCGAGCCGGATAACGGCTCGTATCTGTCAACAAAGTACCGCGACTACAATGTATTATCGCCTAGTCGTCAATACAAAGATCAATATTTCTCCTCTAGCCCAAATCATTATACTCCGCAATTGTCACCAAGTCTGGCAAATGAAGCGAAGAGGCCTGTCTCGCATCCGGAATCCCCGAACAAAATAAATGTCGGCAAATACGGAGAAGATTTAACGAGTGAGGAATTGAATTGTTACAAGAAATCGACGCTGAGCCTCGGTAACATGGAAAACGTGAACAAAGACGACGAGAATGACACTTCTTCGAGTCCGAAGACGCACTTCAACCCGTTTCCCGTTAGAAATAATGCAAGAAAACCTAAAGAATTGACGCTAAAGTTGGGAATATATTCGCCGAATAGCTCCGACTTTGCCCAATTGAAAAAATCGTAGTGCTCAGTGATTTCTCGAAGCGACAGAGCTATTACGAAAAAAAGTATCTATGTTCGCTAATCAATCGTGTTTCGATACACTTATATACTTTACGCAAAAACGAAGCATACCCGATGGCGTTTCAGTGAGTCGCGTATCGATTTTCCGAATTTATTAACAAAGTGGGCTTAAATTGTCGCCTAAACATTCCTAAATCGTAATGCGACACTATTGAACAAATTAAAATGACGTAAGCTTAATTAGCCGTGAAGTAGTTTTAAGATTAAATAAAATAAAGTCGGGTGTAAGTTTTTCAATGCTCGATCACACATGTATTACTTCGAATTAAATTTTAGTTTGAATAGTAAACAAATTTGTTTCGAAGAAAATCAGACGTAGCGAAAATCAATACGGTAATAACATAAAAATTAATACGCAGGGACCGCGCGCGCGCGTTATATCATAATCGCGACAAATGCGAAATAATATCTCCATGAATGCAATTAAATTTGGGAATATTGCTGAAATAATACGTCGTGCGTTATTGACGCGATTATGAAATAGCAAATCCGGGTAAAGCAGATTAATGATAAATTCAATCCCCATATTCGGCCGCACGTGTCTCTCGTTTTATTTCATTATTAAAAATTAATGTGCACTTCACAGATATTCAAATAGTCATCGTAAAAAAAGTTTGAAAGAAATACTATATACAACTGCACTTGCAACACTCGCTTAATGCAATCGTTAAATTTATAATTAAATATGCCTTCGATTCCCTCCAGTTTTAAACTGTCAAAATTTCCTACGAGAGATGCCTTCCAAACTGATCGCGATATTCTCAGAGCTTAGGTTTAATTAAGAAAATTTTGCGAAATGTCTTTCTCACATCTTCTTAATTATATTATTGCCAATTTTTATTGCGAAGTAAACGAATAAGTACCTATATTATAAATTTTCTTCAAAAAGCGGTATACAATATAATGTACGATATAAATTTATAAGTTGTCAATATAAAGCTTAATTCACATATGTTTGGGCAAATTCATCATATGGATTTATAAAGTTCTAAGCAAATTATGAACTATAAATTAAATGTAAAGGAGATGGAGAAATTATGCGTATATATACATATATATGTATATATAAATTTTACATATATGTATATATATATGTATATATAATTACAACTGTTGACTATGTTAAAATGACTTGACAAGGTTCTTACTCTATTTCTCTCTCTCTCTCTCTCTCTCTCTCTCTCTCTCTCTCTCTCTTTCTCTCGTTCCTTCTCAGAATCTTTTTATATAAAAAAAAGTATAAAAGTAGTATTTTTAAATATTTCTAATAAGAAATATTCATAGTGAAAATCAGCTTACTAAACGGGCTACAGTTTGAATGTGAACCTGTTGCTACGAGTTTAAATCCTTGCTCATAAAAAATGACTTCAATTCTATATATAACGAAGTAAATTCGAATTAAGGGACTCGCACGGAACAGTTTTCTATTTTACTGCAACGATTTCAAATGTTTCTTATTCAGATATTTAAATAATTCTGTTAACAGCCTACTTCAACATAAGAAAGATGCTTTTATAACTTACAATATGCGAAGAGAAATTGTCGTAATTCATCCCTTTTCAATGCAATTTACGCATCAACGCACCAGGTATTCACCACGGCTTATAATTAGCCTACTAGAGTATTTCAATCTGTGATAGTTTAGAGAACGACGATATAGAAGATGTTAATATGTTAACATAAATATTATGTGATTCAATTGTTGAATTCAGTATATATTTTTTTAGTAAATTTTCTCTTCTCTCTTTATCTCTCTTAATAATTTAACAAAAAAATTATAAATTAAGAGTTTAACTAGGCTCTGTAATATATAAATATAAATTTAACATATATAAGATAGGCAATAAGAGCCAAATCGCGGATGACAGTGCGTTATTCTAAACGAAACTAAATTTTTTCGTTAGAATTAAATACCTGTGCACAAGGCACCAAATTTTTTACTTGGACACGGCCAAGATATAAAATTGGAATAATCTCTACAAGAGATTTTTAATTCCATGTATCCCCTATTCCCCCTAAAGAAATAAAGTGCGAGAGAAAAATATAGATCCGAAAGTCGCAGAATCGGGAATCGAACCCGAGACCTTTCGCTTGCCGGGCGACTGCTCTTCCAACTGAGCTATTCAGATCCTTTCGATTCTATACTTTTCTCTGTTATATATATTAATGTTGGTAAATAAACGCCTTTAAGCCAGCGTGTATAAATTAAGAGTTTAACTAGGCTCTGTAATATATAAATATAAATTTAACATATATAAGATAGGCAATAAGAGCCAAATCGCGGATGACAGTGCGTTATTCTAAACGAAACTAAATTTTTTCGTTAGAATTAAATACCTGTGCACAAGGCACCAAATTTTTTACTTGGACACGGCCAAGATATAAAATTGGAATAATCTCTACAAGAGATTTTTAATTCCATGTATCCCCTATTCCCCCTAAAGAAATAAAGTGCGAGAGAAAAATATAGATCCGAAAGTCGCAGAATCGGGAATCGAACCCGAGACCTTTCGCTTGCCGGGCGACAGCTCTTCCAACTGAGCTATTCAGATCCTTTCGATTCTATACTTTTCTCTGTTATATATATTAATGTTGGTAAATAAACGCCTTTAAGCCAGCGTGTATAAATTAAGAGTTTAACTAGGCTCTGTAATATATAAATATAAATTTAACATATATAAGATAGGCAATAAGAGCCAAATCGCGGATGACAGTGCGTTATTCTAAACGAAACTAAATTTTTTCGTTAGAATTAAATACCTGTGCACAAGGCACCAAATTTTTACTTGGACACGGCCAAGATATAAAATTGGAATAATCTCTACAAGAGATTTTTAATTCCATGTATCCCCTATTCCCCCTAAAGAAATAAAGTGCGAGAGAAAAATATAGATCCGAAAGTCGCAGAATCGGGAATCGAACCCGAGACCTTTCGCTTGCCGGGCGACTGCTCTTCCAACTGAGCTATTCAGATCCTTTCGATTCTATACTTTTCTCTGTTATATATATTAATGTTGGTAAATAAACGCCTTTAAGCCAGCGTGTATAAATTAAGAGTTTAACTAGGCTCTGTAATATATAAATATAAATTTAACATATATAAGATAGGCAATAAGAGCCAAATCGCGGATGACAGTGCGTTATTCTAAACGAAACTAAATTTTTTCGTTAGAATTAAATACCTGTGCACAAGGCACCAAATTTTTTACTTGGACACGGCCAAGATATAAAATTGGAATAATCTCTACAAGAGATTTTTAATTCCATGTATCCCCTATTCCCCCTAAAGAAATAAAGTGCGAGAGAAAAATATAGATCCGAAAGTCGCAGAATCGGGAATCGAACCCGAGACCTTTCGCTTGCCGGGCGACTGCTCTTCCAACTGAGCTATTCAGATCCTTTCGATTCTATACTTTTCTCTGTTATATATATTAATGTTGGTAAATAAACGCCTTTAAGCCAGCGTGTATAAATTAAGAGTTTAACTAGGCTCTGTAATATATAAATATAAATTTAACATATATAAGATAGGCAATAAGAGCCAAATCGCGGATGACAGTGCGTTATTCTAAACGAAACTAAATTTTTTCGTTAGAATTAAATACCTGTGCACAAGGCACCAAATTTTTTACTTGGACACGGCCAAGATATAAAATTGGAATAATCTCTACAAGAGATTTTTAATTCCATGTATCCCCTATTCCCCCTAAAGAATATTCCCCCTTTTTCTCTCGCACTTTATTTCTTTAGGGGGAATAGGGGATACATGGAATTAAAAATCTCTTGTAGAGATTATTCCAATTTTATATCTTGGCCGTGTCCAAGTAAAAATTTGGTGCCTTGTGCACAGGTATTTAATTCTAACGAAAAAATTTAGTTTCGTTTAGAATAACGCACTGTCATCCGCGATTTGGCTCTTATTGCCTATCTTATATATGTTAAATTTATATTTATATATTACAGAGCCTAGTTAAACTCTTAATTTATACACGCTGGCTTAAAGGCGTTTATTTACCAACATTAATATATATAACAGAGAAAAGTATAGAATCGAAAGGATCTGAATAGCTCAGTTGGAAGAGCAGTCGCCCGGCAAGCGAAAGGTCTCGGGTTCGATTCCCGATTCTGCGACTTTCGGATCTATATTTTTCTCTCGCACTTTATTTCTTTAGGGGGAATAGGGGATACATGGAATTAAAAATCTCTTGTAGAGATTATTCCAATTTTATATCTTGGCCGTGTCCAAGTAAAAAATTGGTGCCTTGTGCACAGGTATTTAATTCTAACGAAAAAATTTAGTTTCGTTTAGAATAACGCACTGTCATCCGCGATTTGGCTCTTATTGCCTATCTTATATATGTTAAATTTATATTTATATATTACAGAGCCTAGTTAAACTCTTAATTTATACACGCTGGCTTAAAGGCGTTTATTTACCAACATTAATATATATAACAGAGAAAAGTATAGAATCGAAAGGATCTGAATAGCTCAGTTGGAAGAGCAGTCGCCCGGCAAGCGAAAGGTCTCGGGTTCGATTCCCGATTCTGCGACTTTCGGATCTATATTTTTCTCTCGCACTTTATTTCTTTAGGGGGAATAGGGGATACATGGAATTAAAAATCTCTTGTAGAGATTATTCCAATTTTATATCTTGGCCGTGTCCAAGTAAAAATTTGGTGCCTTGTGCACAGGTATTTAATTCTAACGAAAAAATTTAGTTTCGTTTAGAATAACGCACTGTCATCCGCGATTTGGCTCTTATTGCCTATCTTATATATGTTAAATTTATATTTATATATTACAGAGCCTAGTTAAACTCTTAATTTATACACGCTGGCTTAAAGGCGTTTATTTACCAACATTAATATATATAACAGAGAAAAGTATAGAATCGAAAGGATCTGAATAGCTCAGTTGGAAGAGCAGTCGCCCGGCAAGCGAAAGGTCTCGGGTTCGATTCCCGATTCTGCGACTTTCGGATCTATATTTTTCTCTCGCACTTTATTTCTTTAGGGGGAATAGGGGATACATGGAATTAAAAATCTCTTGTAGAGATTATTCCAATTTTATATCTTGGCCGTGTCCAAGTAAAAAATTTGGTGCCTTGTGCACAGGTATTTAATTCTAACGAAAAAATTTAGTTTCGTTTAGAATAACGCACTGTCATCCGCGATTTGGCTCTTATTGCCTATCTTATATATGTTAAATTTATATTTATATATTACAGAGCCTAGTTAAACTCTTAATTTATACACGCTGGCTTAAAGGCGTTTATTTACCAACATTAATATATATAACAGAGAAAAGTATAGAATCGAAAGGATCTGAATAGCTCAGTTGGAAGAGCAGTCGCCCGGCAAGCGAAAGGTCTCGGGTTCGATTCCCGATTCTGCGACTTTCGGATCTATATTTTTCTCTCGCACTTTATTTCTTTAGGGGGAATAGGGGATACATGGAATTAAAAATCTCTTGTAGAGATTATTCCAATTTTATATCTTGGCCGTGTCCAAGTAAAAAATTTGGTGCCTTGTGCACAGGTATTTAATTCTAACGAAAAAATTTAGTTTCGTTTAGAATAACGCACTGTCATCCGCGATTTGGCTCTTATTGCCTATCTTATATATGTTAAATTTAAAAAAATTATATATATAGATTTCTTTATAATATAATATTATATTTTAGATTTGTTATATATTATATTATATTTAAAGAGAAAACGATAATGCTAAAATCTCAATTAAATTTATCTTTAATAACGTGCATCATTAATCAGACATTATTTGAAAAATCACACACATATGATCTTCAAATTATTATTATTAATCTCTCAAAGATACACCATACTATATACTTGTACAAAAGCTCACACATTTTCCACGTCTATTTTACCCAAATACTTGTCAATTGCAATATAAGAAAATTATTGATAAAAAAACTGTAAGAAAACTGTTGATAAAAAAAATTTGTGGAAGTTTTTTTGATATTGCAAATAATTTTTTTCTAACGTAATAATATTTGATTTGATTTGTTAACGCGTATCATGGAGTATCA